CACACAGCTCTCACACAATGAAACATTCAGAAAATGCATGAATAAATTACCTAGCATTATATCCTCTGAGATTAACATTATGAAACAGTCCAACAAGTCTACTTAGCTCATGAAACAAACAAGTTATCAACGGTACCGGTAACTCCAGAACATACACAACAGAAAAAAGGGTAATGGAGGGAGGATTTTCAGTCTAACAGTGTTATTTAATTACTGCTATACCATTTTTTTGCAAAAAGGATTCAAGATAGTTCAGTACAATTGAAATTTAGTTGGCAGAGGGGTAAACAGGTGGCATGATGGTTAAGGTAAGATAAAGTACAAGAGGGGCCTGCAAGCGGTGTGGTGGTTAAAGGCGCTGGATTCCCAAACGGCTGGGTACGGTTCTGACCAAGGTGCCTTGCTTTCTCACTTTTCCTCTCTCTCGCACGCTCTCTCTCACTCTGTCCCTCTCTGTCCAAATTTAATAAATAAATAAAGATAAATGGAATAATTCAAAAAAAAAAAAAGAAGGAAGGAAGGAAAGAAGGAAGCTAAAACAAAGTAATTCTTTAAAAATAAAATAGTTGGTAGAAAAGTGGTAGGAAATGAGAAGTCAAAATAAAGACCAGGTGAAATGTCTACCCTTAAAAATAAAAATTAGGATCCATACCCCCTTCTTTTATAGAAGTAAAATGGCTAAAAAACTTAACAAAATTTATTATTAACCATGTTGCAAGATGTAATAAGCACAAAAGGCAAACTCATTCTCCAGTTAATTACATAAGTCCATTAGCAACTCTTTGCTATCACCCAGCTAATAATTATGTAAGGGTAGGGCTGGCAGGTGGCGTAGTGGTTAAGGGCACTGGACTCCTACATGGCCGACTGTGGTTTGAGTCCCGGACCTGGTGGCCTGCTTTCTCACTACCTCCCTCCTCTGTCCTTCTCTGGTCAAATCAAAATAAACAGAATTTATTAACCATAGTGAAAATCTACTTTGGAGCTATTGCTCAACTCTTTTACTATAGTGATGCTACTTCGTTAAAGTTAAGGTTACTACAGACCCTGGCTATTTAACAGGGTATAATATACTTTTTTTTTTTTAAAGCAGAGTCTAAGAATAATAAAAATAATAATAAAAAAAAAAAGGCAAGAGTCTCTGGGGTCGGCAAGTGGCATGGTGGTTAAAGGTACAGGACTCGGACATGGCTGACAATGGTTTGAGTCCCAGACCTGGTGGTTTGCTTTCTCACTTTTTCTCTCTGTCTCTGGTCTAATAATAATAATAATGAATGAAGTAAAATTCCTTAAAAAACAAAACAAAGAAACAGAGTCTTGGTATGTCATATTTATAGCTCAGCCTCCTGAGTCACTGGAACGTGGTGCATGCCACTGCACGTGGCTTTCAAGGTGCGCCAGGAATTGAACCTGGGCTGCACATGTGGCCTATACAAGGAGCCCAGCAGTGTGGACCAAAGTGCATTAATCTTGGTTAGGCCAGGGCATAAGTAACAGGCCATTAATTCTCAAAAGTGTCCCCATTTCAGATAATAAGTTTTTTTTTTTTTTAAGAGAGATTTTTGCTATAGGACATGGGTACTCACTGGAGATACAAGAGAGACAGAAAGTGAGAAATAATCCCACAGAGGGGATGGGCACGCAACAATCTCTTCTCCATTTTCCTCTTGGGATTATAGGTATGCATGCACACGAACCCAGTGTGTTTTAAGCAACCAGGTCCAGGATTTGAACTGTTGTCAACTACTTGGGAGTCCAATGACATAACCATTACACTATTTGCTGGTCCCTCTAACAGTGCGCTTTACAGTCACCCTAATTAGAATGTACTGTTTTTAGGTTAAAGTTTCTTGGGACCAGCAGGTAGCATGGTGGTTAGGGTGCTCGACTCTAAAACGGTCAGCCAATTTGAGTCTCAGATTTGGCAGTTTGATTTCTCTCTGGTGAGTGCATATGCCCTATAGCAAATTAAGAAATAATAATATGGACCAACAGTTGGTGTAATCGCTATGTCACTGGATTCCCATGTAGTCGACTGCGGTTCAAGTCCTGGACCTGGTGGCTTAAATGTATTCCGGGCATGTGTGTGTGAGTGCCCAAGCTCCAGAGAAGAGAATGGAGGAGAGGGGACAACAGCGTGGCCATCGCAGCTGGGAGGTGATTTCTCACTTTCTGTCTCTCTAAAGGAGACTGTACATGATGGCAAAACTCTAATACTTACAGAATTCTATGCCAGTGATAAATGGGGAAGTTAATCTGTTTAAAACAGCTTTCACTTGTGACAACTGGCTGTTGGTGTGTTAATTTGATTTTTTAAAGAATTATTTGTTATTATTTATAAAAGAATTATTTCATTCAGCTTCACTTAATTTTTTTTTTTTGAGAGGTTTTTCGTTATAGGGCATGTGTGCTCGCCACAGAGACAGAGAGAGACATAGAGACAGAAAGTGAGAAATCACCCCCTGGGGGGGGGATGGTCACGCCGCAATCCCTTCTCCTACATTCTCCTCTCGGGATCTTGGGCATGCACACACAGGTGCCTGACCTAAGTTTATAGCCACCGGGTCCGGGACGCTAACCGTGGTCGGCTACGTGGGAGTCCAGCGACATAGCCATTATGCTAACTGCTGGTTCCCAAACTTCATTTAATTTTTGACCAGACAGGGACAGAGTGAGAGTGAGTGAGAATGAGAGTAGGGGCATGGGGGGAGTGAGAAAGCAAGACACCAGATCTGGGGCTTGAACTGCCATGTGGGAGTACAACATCCTTAACCACCATACTACCTTGTCAGCCCCTTGTTATTGTTTTTTAATTTAGCTAGAGAGATAGAGAGAGAGAGAGAGAGAGAGAGAAAAAAGAGAAAAGAAAAAAAAAAAGCCACTAAATCCAGGACTTGAACCATAGTCGGCCATGTGGGAGTCCAGTGCGCCCTTAACTGCCATGCCACCTGCTGGCCCTTATGTGTGTTAATTCTAAATGGATGAGTAAAAGCACCTGAAAAAGAACTTATCTACAAATGTGTCAGTTTCTATGTGGTCCCTAAAATAGACAAATCTGGAACAAAGCCTTGGGATTCAGGTCCTCTTATCAGTTAAATTCTGGTTTGGTGACAGTAAATTGTACAACCTCTTCCCCAATCTGTATGTGTGAAATTTGAGTGTAGACACAGTTGTTTTCTATCACAGTAGCTTACTGTACTGTTTGCAAATTAGTTGATCAAGAACTGTACCATCTAGGGGCCGGCAGGTGGTGTGGTGGTTAAGGTGCTAGACTCCCACATGGCCTACCACAGTTCGAGGTCTGGACTTGGCAGCTTGCTTTCTCACTTTCTCCTCCTCTCATTCTCCCTCTCTGTTTCTTTGGTCAAATTAAAAAATAATAACAATGATAAACAAAATTAAATAAAGAAACAATTAAAAAAAAGAATTGTTCCCTCTACTGGCATATAATAACTAAAGGGTGGGGACCCTAGTTCCTTATACATATAACTGCATTTTAATCATCAATGGCTCTACCTGGTACATATGTGCTCTATAGTTTCTGAATGAAAATGGCTTTCCTCAGTGGCTGTTCATCCTTTTCACACATGTACAGGTTATGTAAGTAATTCACTTCTTCTGTCACTGTTGGTTACTTCTCTTTTTTTTGGAGAGTTTTTTTTTTTTTTGCTATAGGGTGTGTGTGCTCACTAGAAAAACAGAGAGAGACAGAAAGCAAGAAATCACCCCCTAGGGGGATGGCCATGCCACAATCCCTTCTCCTCCATTCTCCTCTCGGGATCTTGGACAAGCACGCACACATGCCCAGCATGAGTTTAAGCCACCGGGTCCGGGACTGGAACCGTGGTCGACTACACAGGAGTCCAGTGACACAGCCATTACGCTGCTAGTCCCACTGTCAAGTACGTCTAACCTGCTTATTTTGTAGCCAAAATGATACCAAACACAACCAGTTTTTCCTTAGTACTCTTAAATTTAACTTATCATTATTTAGAATAGCAATATAAATAACTCCCTTTAACAAAAGTTAACCAAAGTATAGTAATATTCAATATTACATGTGCCAGTGGGAAAACTTTTAGTTTTCAATTAATAATTGGTTGGTAAACATTTATAAATAAAGTTTGGGGCCAGCAGCTGGTGTGGTTGTTAAGGTTAGACTCCCACATGGTCAGTCACGGTTCAAGTCCCAGACCCATGACTCCAAAATCACATTGGGCATGTGTGCATACATGCCCAAATTTCTAACGGAACAAAGGACAAGAGACTGTAGCATGTTAATGCTCTGGGTGGTGATTTCTCACTTTCCCTCCCTGTCTCTCTACACTCTATAGCAAAAACTTTAAAATAAACAAAAAAGTTTCCTTATTATAAAACATAGCTTTAATAATAATTATTTGTATTATTTTTGATATGTCTGAAAGTCTAGTTGATTTCAGACCACACTGCAGCTCATTCTTTTTTTTTTAAAGGAGATTGTTGCTACAGGGTACATGCACTTGCCAAATGGACCAAAAGCAAGAAACTACCACCCCTTAGGGGATATGGCCACACCATAATCCCTTCTCCTCCATTATCCTCTCAGGATTTTGGGTTGGCACACACACATGCTTGGAGTGAGTTTGAGGCTACTGGGTCTGGTTAAATTGCGACTGGCCAAATGGGAGTCCAGTGGTAAAACCAATATGCTATCTGAGGGTCCCTGTAGCTCATTCTTAAGATTTTAAAAACTAATGAATGGATGAGAATCATTTAAAGAAATAAAAGCACAGAATATCTTTAATCAAAATATTCCACATTCTTTTTTTCCTTAAATTTATTTATTTATTTAATTCCATTTGTTACTATTTTTTAATCTGACTAGGCAGAGACAGAGAGAAGGGGAAAGCAAGAAAACAAGCAAAATATTCCACATTCTAATGGGCACTTTCTAAGTACTTCAATTTAACTAGAAACATGTGAGTGTGTGTGTATGTGTATTTTAAAAATTTACAACATACCCATTTTCTTGTAATATTCTTCCCAAGCCTTGGTATAATCAACTTGTCCCGCTGGAGCTGGATTCTGCTGATCTCCTTATTCAAGAAAAATCAAAGAAACTAAATAAATATTTTTTAAAAAATTATTTTATATACTATTATTTTAATTTGCTATAGTGCACATTCATTCACCAAAGAGAAAGAGAGAAGGAGGGAGGGAGGGAGAGAGAGTAGGCAAGTCGCCAGGTCTGAGACTTGAACCACTGTCACTTGGAAGTCCAGTGCTTTAACCATCATGTTACCTCCTGACTCCACTAGATGAGTATTTTTAAAAGGCAGTATGAGGCCTTTACTTCTGTCTCTTGAATTTAGGAGCTGCTGTACAACGGGGTAATGAGAATACAAGGGATGTTCTGTGGGACAGTGATACCAAGACATAGGATGCTTGGGGGTACAGAAGTAGTGGACAAAGACAAAGTTGTTTAAAAGACTGATTACACTGGGCATAAATGATGTCAAATAAATACACTGAGATACTAGGTTTCTTGCCATTTGTATGTGTGGAAAAGGAAAATGCCATGAAGAACTTTTGCCATAGAGCAGGCGCCACCATCCCTGCTATGAAGAACTTTATAAAGTGTTGGAACTGAATTGCTGGCAATATGAAAAAAAGGTTTTAGTGCCAGCAGGTGGCACCATGATTAAGGCATGAGATTCTTACTTGACAGACCAGGGTTTAAGTCCTGGACCTGGCTGCTTGCTTTCTTACTCCCTTTCCTCACTCCCCATCTGTCCCTCTCTGGTGAACACATGTACTCTATTATTAAAAATTAGTAATAACAGTAATAATAAAATTCTAAAAAAGAAAAAAAGGCTGATTCAAGGGCTGAAGTCCAGAAAGAACAGAATAAACTTAACAGGCCAGACAGTAAATAAGTTTTTAAAAATTCACAGGCATTTTAAAAGGACACAGGAACCATCTTGAAAACACTCCTGGCTAGCAAAATCTGGGGCAAATTTATTTTATCAATATAATTAAAATACTTAAAAATTATAACTTATCAGGGCCATCACGATAGTGCAGCAGCTAGGAACAATGTATCAGGAGTGGTATCCCACCTGGCCCACTGTGGGTCAAATCTTAGGCCCCGAGGTTCGAAAATCATGACAGGATTGTGTGCATGTGTGCCCAAAGTCCTGATGGGAAGGTTTTCTATCTCTGGTAAGTGTATATTCTCTCTGGCAATTAAGAGAGAAAACATTAATATAAACTAAACAGATGAAAAGCTCTTACAGTAAACTGCCAACTATGTACAGTGATAGAAATAAATACTTACCACCACAGTGGCAGTTTTATCAGGCCAAGATGTATCAATAAAAGCTAAGGCTGATGAACACAAGTTCAAAGAACAGAACAGCGGTCTCAACCCAGTATAATGTCCCAGAAAATACTAACTAATTTCACAGAAAAAAATGGTGATTTTATGGTACTGAAAACTGGCAGATACCAATTTGACAAAGTGATCAAAATTACCATCTCCAGAGATAGAACATTTCAACATTTTATGGCCCTTGAAACAATACATTGAAAATAGCAGCATCTGAGGGTTTTTTTTTTTTGAACAATTAAAGATGACCTCATAGTCATGAGAAAAGGTTGGATAGACCTACGTTGATAGTCATCCTGCTAAACAATAGGTATATATTCTCTACAATCTAAGAGAAAGACGGAACTACTGCAAACTGGTGAGACTTGAACAGCCTGACTAATAAATGTGACACATTATGGGATGGAGGTCCTGATCAGACAAATGGCTAAATATGAGTAAGGGCTACTGGGACAGGTAAAAATACAGCAATATTTCTTAACTAATAGAAAGGGTAGTATGATGGCTAAATATTCTTTTTGAAATACACAAACTAAATTATTGTGCCTACAATTTAAATCTTTTTTGTTTAGGTTTTTGCCATTGGACAGGTGTGCTTGCTTGGGACCGAAAGTAAGAGGCAAAATGAAAAATTATCTCTCAAACAGGATTGTGATGCTGTAATCCATTCTCCTCTTGGATTTTTGGGCATGCATACACATGTGCCCAGTGTGATTTTCAAGCCCCCACGTCTGGTGCTTGAATAGCAGTCAGTTGTGTAGGAGTGCAACACCTTCACCATCATGCCACCTACTGGCCTCAGTTTAAGTCTTAAATGGTTCTCTTCAGAAATTTTGGTAATGGATGTGGTCACACATGTATCAGGGGAAAAGGGAGTAAATAGGCCAAAATTAACAGCTGGGCAATAAGGTGTTCTTTAAAGCGTTTTTGTAACTTCTACCAAGTTAAAATTATTTCACCCTTTTTTTTAAGAGACTTTTGCAATAGGGTGTGTGTACTTGCCAGAGAGACAGAGACCTAAAGTGAGAAACTGCCCTCTGTGGGGATGGCCACGCCACAATTCCTTCTCCTCCATTCTCCTGGGATTTTGTGCACACATGCACATGTGCCCAGTGTTTTAAGACACTGGGTCCAGGATTCAAAACGTGGTAAACCATGTGTGAGTCCAGGTCCTTCACCACTATGCCACCTGTTGGCTCCATACACTAACTTTTTTTCCCCAAGAATTATTTTATTCATTATTATTGTTTTTGTTAATCTGACCAGAAAGAGATGGAGGGTAGGGGTGGGAGTTGGAAGAAGTGAGAGAGCAAGCCACTAGGTTTGGGACTCGAACCACAATCAGCCATGTGGGAGACTCCAGGCCCCGACTAGTTTAATTTTAAAGAGGAAAGTCTGTGTACACTGAATAATGAAATAATGTACAGAAAATCTTTTTTTTTTTTTTTTTTTTGTGGAGAGGGTTTTGCTACAGAGCGCATGTGCTCACCAAAAAGACAAGAGAGAGACTGAGAGACAGAAAGTGAGAAACCACTCCCCAGGAGGGATGGCCACGCTGCAATCCTTTCTACTCCATTCTCCTCTCGGGATCTTGGGCACGCACGCACACACACACACGTGCCCGGCGTGTGTTTTAAGCCACTGGGTCTGGGACGCGAACCGCAGTTGACTACATGGGAGTCCAGCGACATAGCCATTACGCCAACTGCTGGTCCCTTTTTGTGTTTGTTTGTTTGTTTTTTAAATCTTGGGTATTATACAGTGATGTAGTTTATATATTAACTTCAAAGCTAAGTTTTGGCCTTTAAAGACAAAGTAAATTTTTTAGTCATCAGTTACCTTGTCCATTAGTTTGGGTTGTAGCTGGTGCACCTGCTGGAGCTGCAGGTGGCGGCTGTGCTTGCTGTTGATAATAATGAGCATAATAAGCAGCCCAAGCTGCTGAATTTGGATCCGTTCCTGCTTTAGCTGGAATAAATAGAAGTTCAAGGTTTACATACAAAGTCCTTTCTCTCATTCACACTCAAACAGCAAACATACAGACTCCTAAATTAACTAGATATTTTTATACTCACTCTTAGCTTTTATTATAGAAAACTGAGGCTCACCAATGGACTTTCCTAGGTTACCAGACTAGGAGTGGCCAAACAGAGATATGAATTAAAATCTTTTGGTTTCAAATTCAATGTTTTGGCTGAAATCATCCTTGTGTCCTTGTTTTCTAAACCAGTTTCACCTCAAGCAGAACAGTTCTATGTGACAGATGACTAAAGGAAAAATCTCTAGGGGCTAACTTGTACAAGAAAGAAATAATTATTTTAGAACTGTGAACTATGCCCCAATCTGTATTTAATGAAGAGACAAAACAAAAATCTTAAAAGAAATAGAGATTAACCACATTTTTTCCCACTGTATTTCACAGTTGAATGTCCTAAGCTTGATGCCATTATTCTAACCAAGCTTCTTTTTGCTCATGAATCCTTAGGATGGCTAAAGCTTTTCAAGTACAGCTTATCATTCAACATTAACAATCTAAACCCAATGGTATATTCCTTTCAGTCCAGCGTCATTTTCCCCTTCTGTCACTATTTATTCATTACTCAAGTTCCAGCTACAACAATTGTTTATACTATTCAGAAGTCACCATGTTCATGGCTGGACCTTTGGTAATGTTATGCTTCTTTTACACTTGGCTCACCTTTACAAATCAACTGAGTTTTAAACAGTTTGAGAACTTGCAGCCCCAAACCAGAAATTCCCTTGTTGATTCTGTCCTTTATATCTGTAATACCAAAGAATTCTATAGGTGTATCTTTATTATTCTATACCAAGAATGTAACCGCCTTAGAAGTTTATCTATATACAATCTGTTTAGCCTGTATCCCCAAACAGAGCAATTATCTGCTGCATAATAAAGTGTTAGTTAAGTCTGAGAGGATTTCTAGGGAAGAATAAATCAGAATACAATTATAAGATAGTCAGGCTATCCTTGAAACCTTTCTTTAGTAATTCACTGTATTGTTTTTCCATGTTGGATATTTGTAAGTCTGAACAGTATTATTATCTATTTATAAATACAAATATTTCACTTGATACAATGTCTACATATAGAAATGGAGATAAAACACTATGGGGAGTGGAATTTAATACTCCCAAATGCATACAACACAAAAGGAAACCACTGTCATAGTTACATATATTATGTAGTAAGAACTTAACTAAATATTCATTAGTTAAATGTACAGTTAACTCATTTGTTATCACTCTTTAGGTAAGAAAACAGGCTCACAGGGGTTCAAAAGTTTGTCTGACGTCCCTGGAATTAGTAAATTGTGTTGAGGACTAGGACTGATCAAGGTTCTGTTTGGACTCTTAAGTCTAAATTTTCAAGTACTATATAAATCCACAATAGATTTTTAGCTTTTTTTTTAAATATAGAAACAAACTTTAGTTAGCAGACTATAGATAATATTATATATTTCTAAGTTGCACATCTAATCCACAGATGGGTAACTCCTTGACAAATCTTAGCTGGGCCAAGTAGCTGATACCTACTAGTGAAATGGGTTACTTCTAAGTCACATTCATTGACCAGTTTTGACAGTGGTGACTTGCAATACTATTATAACTGGAAAACATTAAGAGTCTAATACAGGAACCACATCTTATTCCCTAAGGGATAATCATGTTATTATTACCACAACAGTGTTCACAGGTACAATCCTAACAGATCCACATTATTCAAGAGATACCTCACTCTTCCATACTTTTTTTTTTTTGGAGAGGTTTTTGCTATAGGGCACGTGCGCTCGCCAGACAGACAGAGAGAGACATAGAGACAAAAAGCGAGAAATCACCCCCCAGAGGGGATGGTCACACCGCAATCCTTTCTCCTCCATTCTCCTCTCGGGATCTTGGGCACGCACGCACACGCGCCCGGCGTGAGTTTTAAGTCACCGGGTCTGGGACGCAAACCGCGGTCGACTACGTGGGAGTCCAGCGACATAGCCATTACACTAACTGCTGGTTCCCTCTTCCATACTTTTAAGTTTCATTCCTCTTCTTAATTAGCTTACAAAAGGGGAAAAAAACGCCCTTTCATTAAAAATTTAAAATAAAGAACTTTTAGACTATTATATGGTAAATCATATTTATATAGATACCGCTTATGCAGTAGAACGATTCTTCTATAAAATATAAACTCATCTTTCCATAGCCAGATCCTACTATAAAACTCATTCCTTGAACAAATGGAAACTGTCATCATTTGGTGACTGTTGTGTTGCATCATCACATTCATATGAACACCTTTCCAAAAAAATTTAAGTATGTTACAATATAGGGTGACATTTAAGTATAAACATGTTTAATCAAATTAAACAGTATCATTTATCAGTTACTCGGGATTTTTTTTGGATAAATATACTATGTGTAGAAAATAATCCATATTTCAGTATACCTTCCTTGAAACTATTCCAGTGAAAGAAGCCTAAAAGGTAGGTAGCAGGTAAGAAAAAAGGTTCATAAATAAAAGTTAATTGGTTTTAAAGAATGCCTCTTTGATCAAGATGGAAAGAAAACTACAGAATATGTGAAGATGCAATAGAATAGAATATAACACATCTAAAATATAAACAGAATATTCAATTAAGTACATTTTGAGTTATACCATGCAGTTATAAACACAGGCCTGGTTTTTACTAATATGTAAAGCTGGTTTATCAGGAATATTAGACAGGCAATATTGTATTTGAGAACTTGGGAATGTAATGCTAAGTATTTAATACTCATTTAATACTCTTGCATAATTTTATAAACAATTCTAAACTATCGTTCGTGGACAGTATGACAATACATAATACATTTAACAGCATTGGTATCTAAAATCCAACACATTATTACTTTTTCCTATAGCGTTTGACTTTTAGCACTCTGTTATCAATTCATAAGCAGAGAAAGTCAAATGTAAGTGGAAAAAGGTTCCACAAAAGCAGAGATGATATTCATGTCAGTGTTACATACTGCAGTACAAGCAGTGCCTACACTCTGCTAAAAGAGTAGAACTAGAAAAGACAATGCATACAAATGTAGAATCAACACCAGAAAACTTAAGAGTTTAACAGGGGTGGTAAATAAACAGTATAGATAGCAAACAAATTATATGCATATTTTACCTGGATCAGGAGGAGCCTGTTGCTGCCAATGTGGATATGCATTTCCCCACCCCTGGGGAGCATATGGAGCTGGAGGGCCACTGAAAGGAATACCAATATTAAAATAAAATTTACTGAAAGCAAGACTTTTTTGGGGAAAGCCAAGAACTATACCCAATACTTACTGAGGAGCTGGGCCAGGTGGTCCTGGATTATAAGGTGCAGGGTTGTATGGTCCCATTGGAGTTCCAGGCCCAGGAGGCCCAGGAGGCCCATGAGGACCTGGGACACCATGGGGCCCATGGGGTACAGGTGGCCCTAAAGGATTTACTGGGCCCTATAAAACCCAAGAGAACATAAAAAAAAGAAAAAGAAATCAGAGTAATGGCTAAACAAATGAAAAGCCAAATAATCTTGTATATCTACCCTCTTTTCAATCACAAACAACTTTTAGGTTTTCTTTTGCCTTCATTCCTATTGCAAAAGTCTGCCATGTTTCAAAAGACATGTAAAATTCACTAGAGTCAATTAACATTAAAAACTAAATATAAGAACTAATGTTTACTTCATCTTTTATCCTATTTTCTCCAGAAAGCACTATTTCCCTTCCCTTCTGCAATTTTTTTTCTCAGTCCTTCTGTCACTCCAACTCCATTCATATCAAGAACATTAATGTTCTCTTTTGATTTTGATCCATCATAATTTTCTAAATCGCATTCCTTTTGTAATTCATTTTTTAATTAATTCCTTTTATGATTTATTCAGCAGACCAGGACATTATATATCCTTATGATGCCACATCATAAAAATAGCTTAGCTGATGTCTTGTTTGATAAGCCAACATGACAAACACAGGCACATTCATGTAATCCCCACAACTCTATGAGGTAGGTACTCTAATCCTCCTTTTATAAGAGGAACCTGGACCAGAAGAGTAGAAATAACTTCTCCCAAGGTCACATAGACTTAAGTCACAGGATTTTCAACTCAGCAGCCTATTCCAGAGCCCATGCTTTCCACCATGCCAAACTGCTTCTGTAAAACAACCTAACTTGACTTTCTATGAATCCAACAACAGTTATGATCTATGCATATGAACTAATAAAGTTAATAATGCTCTACTCATTTTTCTACTTTGGCATCAACCTCTGCCATTAGAGTCTATAGCATTTTCTTGTTAGTTATGTTAATTATTCATACCACAGAATCTATGTCTATATACTACATTTTTTTTCTTTGCTTTTTTTTTGGAGAGGTTTTTGCTAGGGCGCATGCAATGGCCAGAAAGACAGAGTGAGACTGAGAGACAGAAAGTGAGAAATCACCCCCATGGGGATGGCCACGCTGCAATCCCTTCTCCTCCAGGGATCTTGGGCATGGATGCACACGTTCCTGGTGTGAGTTTAAGCCACCAGGTCTGGGTCTCGAACCACAGTCGATTACATGGGAGTCCAGGGACATAGCCATTATGCTAACTGCTGGTCCCTATATACTACATTTTTTAGATTTAAGTGACTTCTGCATGCTTTTGTCTTTCCAAGTAGACAGAAACAAGTGTCAAATTTCTTTCGCATTCCATTCATAGCAATGGCAAACACCAAGGAGAATTTTCCCAATTATTAAGAATTTAAGACACTGTCACAAACCCTACATCAAATTTTCATTGTATAAAACCCAGGAAATTTCTCTCTTTTTCTCACTCTGTCCCTCTGTGGTCAAAAATAAAATAAAGTTAAATAAGATAATAATTCTTAAAAAAAGAAAATGGGGAGTGCACCTGAGGGTGGTGTGGTGGTTGAGGGTACTGGACTCCCATATGGCTGACCATTATTCAAGTCCTGGACCTGGCAGCTTACTTTGTCTGTCTGTCTCTCTGTGCTCAAAATTAAAATAAAATAAATGAATGAAGTTAAATAAAAAAAATTCTAAAAAAAAAAAAGAAAGAAAGAAAGAAAAGAACCTAGAAAAATTCAATTTGCTCTATTTACTAAAAAACAGGAAATGTTCTTCCCAAATTTTTGTTCTATCATTTTTACTCTGGAAAACTTTTTCTGTATACTAGAATTCTGTACACTAGAATCACCTGGAACATTTTTGTTAAAATTAGATACTGGGCCCTATCCCAGGCTTCTAAACCAGAACTGTCTTTGTATGCTTTATTTAGAATGAAAAGAAGATAGTTTGCATTTTAAAGCCTCAGGTGATTATGAGCCAGTCCAGTACTTGAGATTTATAAATTTCTACACAGAATAGGGATGGGGAGGAGTCCATCTGATTAACCTTTTTGCCTCACCAAGGCTGGGTATGGTAAGACCTTTAAAAATACTGAATTCCCTGGGAACCAGCAGTCAGTGTAATGGCTATGTCGCTGGACTCCCATGTAGTTGACCGCAGTTCACGTCCCAGACCTGGTGGCTTAAAACTCACGCCGGGCGCGTGTGCGTGCGTGCCCAAGATCTCGAGAGGAGAATGGAGGAGAAGGGATTGCGACATGACCATCCCCCCTGGGGAGTGATTTCTTGCTTTCTGTCTCTCTGTCTCTGTCTGGCGAGCGCATGTGCCGTATAGTGAAAAACCTCTCCAAAAAAAAAAAAAAAAAAAAAAAACTGAATTCCCTTAACTATTTCTTTTCACTATGTTCCACAATCCTCCATTACTAATATGTCAGCAAGAAACACTTTCTTCCTCTTATCTACTCAAACCCAAACATATGGTATTTCTAAACATATGTAATTACTTATTTAACAAGGTTATTCTTACTGATGGGAAATTCTTTCTATGTGGTATGGTATCACAAAACCTGTTAATTCCAGATCAAAATCTATATTTCCCTGTGTGCGTCTGAATTAATGCCTTACTCAACTAATAGGGTCTACACTGTATTTAAAGCATACTCACACCAATCTTTTCTTCTATGAGTTGCCGAGCATAGTCTATCTGCTGTGGAGTGCCACGAATTGTAAATAACTTCATATTAGGATCTGCATTAGGTGGAGGATTTCTTTGAAGTTCTATTCGTGCACCAGACTGTTGGCTTATGCTTTTTATGGTTTCACCTCCTACAATCAAAAGATAGTAAATTTTCTAAACATTCAAAGTTACAAGAGGAACAATTCAGAAGCAAATGCTCACAATGAAATGGGCCATTACAAAAGTTCTGGCAAGTAGCCTATCTTGACAGTACTCTATTAGAACTTTTTCACTTAGTCTATACTTCAAATCAAATTATATGAAGTATTTCAAAATTCTCTTAAAATAACTTAATTTGTATTTACTCAGTACATTTTTATATAACCTTAATGAGTTTTATAACTTTCCAAAATATTTTGCTCAGATTACTTTTATAAGCAATTTAAATATAAGCACACATATAAATGTTCAATTTTTTAAAATGTAAGGACTTGACCTGCAGCCCAGTTGTTAATGGTTCTGGATCCCACACGGCCACCCAAGGTTCAAATCTAGCCCTATTGGCTTTAAAAACACAAAAAGCATATGGGCCTGCATGCCCCAAATCCTGACAGGCTAGAGAAATGGAGAAGGGACTGCAAAATAACCATGCTCTACCGGGGATTACTTTTCTCTCTCAAGAGTGTATCCATCCCCTGGCAAAACTGAAACTAATAAAAAGGACAGCTTTTTGACCAGCTACAAAGGTAAGTAATGCAACATTTTGTGATGATGAATCCACACAGTCAAGTTTCAGGTATGGTTCCCAAAGTCTCAACGTGCATGCATGCTCATAATCTGAGCCGGCCAAAGTCAATAGATTTTGGTGTGTGTTGTCTGTCTTGTGGAAGGAATAAACAAACTTGAAAGAAAAAGGTTTTTTTTTCCTACTAAAATAGGGCCAAATTAAAACCACTGCCACTCGTTTACAACAGCAACCAAAGGAATATCCAAAAAAAAAAATTAGAAGGTAAAAAATGTAGATTATAAAAAGATGATGAAAGGAATTGAAGGATTAAAAAAAATATTATCTTATGTTCATGAACTGAAATTGTCAAAATTATTAAAACCTCCATATTATTGAAAAGCGATCTACATAGTCAATGGAAAATGTATCGAAATAACAATGACTGTCTTCACAGAAATAGGGTAAAACACACACACACACACACACACACACACACACACACACACACTACAAAATCTGTATGGAATCACAAAAAATCTGAGCAAAAGAGTGGAGTTGGAGGCATCACACTACCACATTTCAAAAACAACATATAAAGTAACAGAGCAGAACAGAGACCCCAGAAATAAGTGATTTTTAAGAGGAGTCAACTACATTCAATAGAGAAAATGGTCTCTTCAATAAATGGTGAGGGTCAAGCAGGTGGCATAGTGGTCATTAAGGATGCAGGACTCCCACATGGTTGACTCTAGTTCGAGTCCCAAACCTGGCGGCTTGCTTTCTTAATTTCCCTCTCTCTTTCTCTTGCTCTGTCCCCCTCGGGTCAAATAAAATAAACACACAAGTAAAGTTAAAATAAAAATATATATATTTTAAAAATGATGCTAATCAGGGCCAGGAGGTGGTAGAGTGGTTACAGCGCTTGTATCCCATATCTAACTGCAGTGCAAGTCTTAGACCTGGTAGTTTGAAAAATCACACCTGGCACATATGCCCAAATCTCAGGAGAACAGAGAAGAACTGCAATGTGGCTATCCCACCTGTGTGGAGTGATTTGTAACTTTCCCTGTCTTTCTGGTAAGTACACATGCCCTACAGCAAAAATCTTTTTTAAAAAAGTGCTGGAAATGTACTTGCAGAAAAACAAAACAAATGTTAGTTCTTTCTCATCACAAAATAAAAACAAACCAAATTCAAAATAATCTGTTTTAAAGATTTAAAACTAAGACCTAAAATTATGAAACTTGTTAGCAAATGACATAAGGAAAACACTTCAGGACATTGGTATGAGCAGAGTTTTAAAAATATAAGGTAAAGGTTTATAACAATAACTGTCTCTACAGAGATAGAGTAAAACACACACACACACACACACACACACACACACACACACACACACTACAAAATCTGTATGGAATCACAAAAAATCTGAGCAAAAGAGTGGAGTTGGAGGCATCACACTACCACATTTCAAAAACAACATATAAAGTAACAGAGCAGAACAGAGACCCCAGAAATAAGTGATTTTTAAGAGGAGTCAACTACATTCAATAGAGAAAATGGTCTCTTCAATAAATGGTGAGGGTCAAGCAGGTGGCATAGTGGTCATTAAGGATGCAGGACTCCCACATGGTTGACTCTAGTTCGAGTCCCAAACCTGGCGGCTTGCTTTCTTAATTTCCCTCTCTCTTTCTCTTGCTCTGTCCCCCTCGGGTCAAATAAAATAAACACACAAGTAAAGTTAAAATAAAAATATATATATTTTAAAAATGATGCTAATCAGGGCCAGGAGGTGGTAGAGTGGTTACAGCGCTTGTATCCCATATCTAACTGCAGTGCAAGTCTTAGACCTGGTAGTTTGAAAAATCACACCTGGCACATATGCCCAAATCTCAGGAGAACAGAGAAGAACTGCAATGTGGCTATCCCACCTGTGTGGAGTGATTTGTAACTTTCCCTGTCTTTCTGGTAAGTACACATGCCCTACAGCAAAAATCTTTTTTAAAAAAGTGCTGGAAATGTACTTGCAGAAAAACAAAACAAATGTTAGTTCTTTCTCATCACAAAATAAAAACAAACCAAATTCAAAATAATCTGTTTTAAAGATTTAAAACTAAGACCTAAAATTATGAAACTTGTTAGCAAATGACATAAGGAAAACACTTCAGGACATTGGTATGAGCAGAGTTTTAAAAATATAAGGTAAAGGTTTTTATTATGCACACCCAGACAAGAAAAGCAGAAACAGAAAACCAGAATTATTCTAAAACAAAAGCCTCCTTAACACCAAAGGAAATAATCAACATAGCAGAGACAACCCATAAAATGGGGAAAAATATCTGTGAAACTACATATTTAACAAAGGAATATTAACAAGGATATATAAGGAAGTTAATTCAGCAGCAAAAACAAAAAATGAAAACCAACAAATAGAGGGACCAGTAGTTAGCGTAATGGCTCTGTCTCTGGACTGTCACGTAGTCGACAGCGGTTCGAGTCCCGGACCTGGTGGCTTAAACTCTCAAATGAGAGAGAAATGGAGAAAAGGGTGTCCCCCTCTCTCTCTCTCTGGTGAGTGCATATGTGTTCTTGCAAACTTGGGGGGGGGGGAAGATTTTAAACATTCTATTAGAAAATAAGGATAAATGGCTGAAATGATGGATATACTACCTACCTTGATTTAATTAACATGTATTGTATTCTAGTACTGAACAAATCAGTTTAGGGGCCATCAGAGGGCATAGCACATACATCACTAGACTCCCTTCTCAAGAGGCCGACTATGGTTTGAGTCCTGGACCCTGTGACTTAAAACTCATGCCAGGTGCCTGTGCATGCACGCCCAAGATCCTTGGAGGAGAAAAGAGAAGGGATTGCAGCATGGCCATCCCTTCTGGGGAAGAGGGTATAATTCTTTGCTTTCTCTCTCTCTCCAGTGAATGCATGTGTCCTATAGCAAAAATTTCTCCAAAAAAGAAAAAAAACAATGTATCTCACAAACATGTGTAATTACTAAATCTCAATTAAAATGAGAAACAAACAAACAAACAAACAAACCCAAAAAGTAATGTGTTAAATATTAAAAGTTTACAATGTGGGCAATCAGGTGTAATGGTGGTTAAGATACTGGAGTCCCACATGGCTTAAATAGAGAGCTGTTATTTAACAGTCTTAAAGTCTTAAATCTAGTGACTTGCTTTCTTCTCTCTTTCCGCCTCTCTCTTTCCAGTGAGCACATGTGCCCTTATAGGAAACTGAAAAATGAATAAAATTATAAATAACTAATTTTAAAAAATAAAAGGAGTTTAATATACATTGCCTTTTCCTATTATTAATCCAGTTTTTCCAGTTGGCACAATGAAATTAAATTCCTGTAGTCCACCAGGTGGTCCCATGTTCCAGTTTCCTTGACCTCTACCTCTTCCTCGACCACCAGGTCCAGGTCCACCAGGATTACCAGCCTAAGGGTGAAAAAGACCAACAACAACAACAACAAAAAGACTTTAGAAATTATTTGGCCCAAATAATCACTTTAAAATCTACCATTTTTAATATTTTGGGGTGAATAAAATAGCAGACTTAGATAACACTTTTTCTTGCTCCAAGATGTCTCTACCTTTAAGTCATTCAAACTTTTAGTTTTGATTAAAGAAAATACTTTCCCAATAAAAACAAAAAATGAAAATGACAAGCTTTCTATCAAACCTGAACACTTCGAAGAAGGTCTGTAATAATTTCTGCAGCATGTTGACATCGGTCTGGAGGTCCTGTTATCTGTGCTATTCTATCAGGTGTTGTTCCATCATCTTCAGAAGAAAGAAGCAAATTCAATTAATTAAATATTTAACATGTGAGTGTCAAAACTGATAGCTCCTGGGCTACCAGGTGGCATGGTATTTAAGGGCACTGGACTCATACATGGAGAACCGTGATTTGAATCCCGTACCGGGCGGTTTCACTTTACCCCCTCTCTCTGGTCAAATTAATAATAGTAATAAATAAATAAACATTAAATAGAATAATAATAATTAAAAAATCCTGGTAGCTCCTAACACTTAAAAGATTAAATATATGGAGCTAGGGGCCAGCAGGTCGCATGGTGGTAAAGGTGCTGGACACTCCCACATGGCTGACCAGGGTTTGCGTTCTGGACCTGTTGGCTTACTTTCTTCCTGGTCAAACGGAACTACATATACATACATACATACATATATATATAAAAAAATCGCTCCATTGTGCAATGGTTAAGTGCTGTGCATGGGAACCTATATATAACACATGGCCAATCACAGTTCTAATTCTACTGAGAAACATGCAGGGTATATGTGCATTTATTCTCAAAGTCATGACAGGATGGAGAGGTGGAGGAAAAAGGATGAGGGGGCTACTTTCTCTATCCCCACTCTCTGGCAACCATATGCCTCCATTTGTGTTTAAACTTAATTATTTATTATTATTATTTTTAAAATTTGCTATATAGGACACGTGTTCTCATGAGACAGACAGACAGACAGAAAGTGAGAGAGCAAGTCACCAGGTCCAGGATGCGAATTCCAATAGGCCATGTGGGAGTCTAATGCCTTAAATCACCATGGCATACATTGGACCCCCATCTTTCCCCATTTGAGGAAAAAAAAAAAAAAAAAGAGATTAACACATATACTCACCTGGCTTAAAATGAATTCGTACACCAGCATCATGGTGGTAAAGGTGCTGGACACTCCCACATGGCTGACCAGGGTTTGCGTTCTGGACCTGTTGGCTTACTTTCTTCCTGGTCAAACGGAACTACATATACATACATACATACATATATATATAAAAAAATCGCTCCATTGTGCAATGGTTAAGTGCTGTGCATGGGAACCTATATATAACACATGGCCAATCACAGTTCTAATTCTACTGAGAAACATGCAGGGTATATGTGCATTTATTCTCAAAGTCATGACAGGATGGAGAGGTGGAGGAAAAAGGATGAGGGGGCTACTTTCTCTATCCCCACTCTCTGGCAACCATATGCCTCCATTTGTGTTTAAACTTAATTATTTATTATTATTATTTTTAAAATTTGCTATATAGGACACGTGTTCTCATGAGACAGACAGACAGACAGAAAGTGAGAGAGCAAGTCACCAGGTCCAGGATGCGAATTCCAATAGGCCATGTGGGAGTCTAATGCCTTAAATCACCATGGCATACATTGGACCCCCATCTTTCCCCATTTGAGGAAAAAAAAAAAAAAAAGAGATTAACACATATACTCACCTGGCTTAAACTGAATTCGTACACCAGCATCATTTTGTATTTTTTTTATCATCTCTCCATTTCTTCCTATTACAATTCCAACAGCAAATCTTGGAATAGGGACCTTATGTAAAAAGACCAAGTATTAAGAAAGCCATTTCCTGAAAATTCAACTGCATTAAATCATAAAAGTATATATAATACCATGTTTTTATCAAATAGGGTAACAAGATACAACTATGTTTCAAATTTGAAACATAAAACAAAATTTGAAACAAAATTAGAAAAAGCATAAGATGGTAGAGAAGGCTATCTAATACAAAATAGAAAAAACTGCATTTGTCAACTAGCATGTAACATTTCGGAATATGTATTTTTACTTACATCTATCCCTTCATTTCCTCCTATCCTTGATCCATACTCATTTCGAACTTCTCTGAAACCACCTTGATCACGAATTAACTCTAACACCATCTCCTTGGCTTGCTGAAGTAGAAAAAGTTAACCATTTTACAAAGCACGTCTCAAAACATTTAAAATATTTGGGTACATTTTGCCCAACCCCAACTCCTTTAAAAAATATAAAGTTTACTTGAACTTTGTATGGGTCTCCTGTAATCCTAAGAGGTTTGTCAGCACCAGTGTTCTGAGGACCATCTTGAATCATAACCATTTTAACTCCAGCCCGTTCCTGGTTATAATCAGAGAATTCATATGTATTAACAAAAGGAGAATGAAAGAAAATTGGCTTAAAATCAGACTAAAAGTAATCATTTTACAAATAAAATAATACCTGAAGTTGTTTAATAGTCTCTCCCCCTTTTCCAATAACTAATCCTGCTTTGCTAGCTGGAATCATGATTTCTTGAACTGCATTTCCTGGTCCATCACCATGATGGAAGCCAGGAGCTGGTCTTCCTTTTTCAACAATCTGGTCCAGTAACCGTTTTGCAGATCTGTTAACAAATTAACATTCAAATAATAAAGTAGAACTAACCAAAATTATCAAAATAGAGAATATATAAAATAGTATAATCAAATACTCTTATCACAATTCAGGATTAAGTGCGTCAAAGCTCATGCTAACAATACTTTTACTATTTACCTATTTTCTTTTTAGAAATATTTTTACTATAGGGCAAGTGTGCTCACTGGAGACACAGAAAGAAAGAGAGAAATCAGCCCCCACCCCAGGGAGATGGCCATGTCACAATCCCTTATGCTCCATTCTACTCCGGGGATTTTGAGTATGTGCCCAACTCAGTTTCAAGGCAACGGGTACAGGCTGAACTCTAGTCAGTTACTTGGGGAGTTCAGTGCTTCAATCACTGCCACCTGTAAGCCCCTTTACCTTATGCTTTTAACAAGAAAATGAAATCAAGGTTCCAAAATTGTGGTAAATTTTCAGTATAAAATTTTCACTTTTGGGACCAGCAGTTGGTGTAATGGCTATGTTGCTGGACTCCCATGTTGGTTGACCATGGTTCAAGTTCTGGACCCGGTGGCTTAAACTCACACTGGACGTGTGTGCCTGTGTGTACCAAAGATTCCGAGAGGAGAAAGGAGAAGAAGGGATTGCGGTGTGGCCATCCCCGCCCCGCCCCCGGGGGGGGGGGGTAATTTCTCGCTTTCTGTCTCTCTGTTTCTGTCTTTCTGGTGAGTGCACAAGCCCTATAGTAAAAATCTACCACCACCACCACCCCAAATCACTTTTAAGAACAGCCCATGGGACCAGCAGATAGCATAGTGGTTATGTTGCTGGACTTTCACGTAGTTGACCATGGTTCAAGTCCTGGACCTGGCAGCTTAAAAATCATGCCAGATGTGTGTGCGTGCATGCCCTAGATCCCGAGAGGAGAATGGAGAAGGGATTGTAGCATGGCCATCCCATCCCCCGAGGGGTGATTTCTTGCGAGTGCATGCACCCTATAGCAAAAACCTCTCCAAAAAAAAAAAAAAAGAATAGCCCAAAAATTTCAAGAAGGAACACACAAATTTTTCCTCAGGATTAAGCTGATTCTTCTAATAATTATTTATTTACATTTTAAAACTATCCTTTCGTTCAGTCATGTTACAATTTATCAGTTCAACAAATACTTAAAATATCTAGTCTGTGCCAGGTAATATTTTAGTTAATGGAGTTACAGCACTTAACAAAATAAATAAGATTCCTACCACAGTGGCTTAATTTCATTAAGTAAAAATACCACAGTATTTCAAATACACATCACTTGGCAAGTCCTATAAAGAAAACCACGGTAGTATAAGGAGAGATTGGGATTATGTGTGTGTGATAATATATTTTATACAAAATAAATATAGGGACCCCTGCTAATAAAGACAAATCTGAGCCAAAACCTGAAGGAAGGAGTGATAAAAATAGCTAGGAAAGACATTACAGAGAAAAGGAACAGAAAGTGCTAAAGATTCAAAAAGAGCCTAATTTGTGCGTTGAAAAAACAGAAAGGGGATTAAAAGGAGCTACAACACAGTGAGTTGATACAGGAATGGCAAAAAATGAAGTTAGGAGGCCAGGCCCTGATAACGTACTGATTTATATTCTAAAGTTAGGGGACAAATTAAGAATTCTGGGCAGGACCAGCAGATGGTACAATGATTTCATCACTGGATTCCCACGTAGTCAACTGATTTAAGTCCCAGACCCAGCAGTTAAAAACTCACACCGGGTGGGGAACCAGCAGTTAGCGTAATGGCTATGTCGCTGGACTCCCACATAGTCGACCGTGGTGCGTGTCCCGGACCCAGTGGCTTAAAACTCATGCCAGGCGCATGTGCGTGCGTGCCCAAGATCTCGAGAGGAGAAGGGATTGCGGCGTGACCATCCCCTCTGGGGGGTGATTTCTCGCTTTCTGTCTCTATGTCTCTCTCTGTTTGGCGAGTGCATGCGCCCTATAGTGAAAAATCTCTTCCCCCCCCCCCAAAAAAAACAAAAACAAACAAACAAAAAAAAAACCAAAAAAATAAAAAAAACAAACTCACGCCGGGTGAGTGTGTGTGCATGTCCAAAATCCTGAGAGGAGACTCAAAGAGAAGGGACTGCAGCATCACCATAATCTCTGGGAGTGTGTTATCTTGATTTCTGTCTCCTTGGCAAGCACACATGCCCTACAACAAAAATCTCCCTTAACAAAAACAAAACAAAGCAATTTTGAGCAAAGTAGTGATATAAATTTGATTTTAAAGAAAACTGAATACACCAGATTTGATAGCACCTGCCAATAATTCTCTCATTAAAAGAAAAGCAAAGAGGATGGCAGGTACTGTAGTGGTTAAAGTGGCACCTACATGGGCAACCACAGTTTGAGCCCCAGACCTGGTGGCTTGCTTTCTTACTTCCCCCTTCTCTCTCCTGGTCAAATTAAAAAATAATAAAGTTAAATAAAATAACTCTTAAAAAAGAAAAGCAAGGAGCCAGCAAGTAGCATAGTGGTGTAGGCACTGAACGCCCACATGGCTGACCATGGTTTGAATCACTGACCTGCTGGCTTGCTTTTTCACTTTCCCTCTCTCTCTCTCTCTCTGGAGAATAAACACAAGTAATAATAATGATAATAAATAAAACTGAATAAAAAATCTTTAAAGAAAATGAAAAGTACTGCTCTGTCTAGACTATTGCAAAAACACTACTATGGGACAAGCATAAAAAAATAAAGATATGGGAACCAGCAGTTAGCGTAATGGCTATGTCGCTGGACTCCCACGTAGTCGACTGCGGTTCGCGTCCTGGACCTGGTGGCTTAAAACTCACGCCGGGCGTGTGTGTGTGCATGCCCAAGATCCCAAGAGGATAATGGAGAAGGGATTGCAGCGTGACCATTCCCTCTGGGGGGTGATTTCTCGCTTTCTGTCTCTATGTCTTTCTCTGTC